ATCGTCACCCACAGCCTGTAATAATACGTCGGCAATAATCTCTGCCAATAGAAAAGGTTTGGGGACAGGCTCAGCACCGCCATGGAGAAGCGGTGATGGATTTTGGCGAAAGAAGCAACGACAGATCGGCCCGGAACTCGATGAGCGCGCTGCCTGCAGTCAATCATTGTCGGGAAATGCCCCGACTCCATCCGCGCTCATGGATGAGAGATGATAGATCGATTTTCACTCACCGTCAATTGGACAAGGCCTGGAGTCTAGTGCAGTAGTGAGGAGCGTGGCGTCACGACCCCCAGAGCTGTGCTGGCCAAAGCCCGTAAGATCTTGCCTGAGCTGACTCGATGTCTCGAGGACGCACTGGGACGGGACTGTAAGACATTCTTTTGATTCATACTGGCCGTAGCTGATCAAGATAGAGAGCAGAACTAGGAGTGAGGCCTTAAAGGTCGGCGGCTCCTTCAGCCATATATGTTGGGTGTTCTCCCCACCTCGTCGTGGTTGTTTCGTCAAGTACCATACAGCGTTTAGCAGAGTATTCATTATTGTCCTTTGAAAATATCAATATCTCCCTAGTATTTCTTCGCTTTGTTTTGCTCTGTTGGATTTACGCTGTGTTGACTGTTTGCCAATATCCGCATCTGATACTCAGGAGGTTAACAGGTTGGTGCAACCAAACGAATCTTGGATTTCCATCGTCTAGTATTGGCCTATTTCCTTGAATTTAGATCTTGACCAACTGGCAGGTCATTTCAAAAGCTTGGAGACCGCGAGTTAGTGCTAACCTTGCCTGGCAAGACCACGGAGACGCTCGACAGTGTATGTTGATGCATGCTCGACCGTGAGCACCTTCGAAAGATCTTTCGAAAGATCTCAAGTGATTATTAGATTGGGACATCGTGGTACGGGGGCTCCTTCTATCCATTTCCATCTATAATTTTTATTAAGACTGATTCCAGTGCTTCCTTCTTTCGAACTTTCTGCTGCTCTCGTCGATATCGGCGGCCTTCCTGACTCCTCTGGCTTCTGGAGATTTGGGCGGACACCACGCATCTACACTTTCCCCAGCAAGCAGCCTACCTACCTACCTACCTTACCTCCTACCGGTCTCAGATAAGCGCCCGCCTGGCACGCCTATTAGGTTCGGAAGTAACGAGACGTCCGGTGCCCTGCTATTGACAGCTGAGAACAATAGAAAGTGCGGTGGTCGAGTCCAGACGAGGTGAGGACGGTACCTTCAGGCAAGAGCTTGCTGGGTCGAGGTACCTTGACTCGTTGAATAGCAGTAGACGCCCTACGCTCCGAAGTTACAGGTACCTGAGGACTGACCGAAGGCGCATCGAGGACCAAAGTGGTTCTCAGCCCGACCTCAGAGAAGCGAGTTCTCACCTTCTTCTCACTCTCACCTCCTTCTCACCTCGCAGGCAGGCACTTGCAGCAGCTGGCGACAGTTGCCCGCCCAATCCCGAGCTATAAAACGCCGCTCTTCTTCTTTTCTCACGATCTTTCTTTCCTTCCTTCTTCACCACAAACATTCTTTGGAATTCACTTGGTGCCTCCAGCATCTTTTGGAATCCGCAGAATTCTGTACAATATCGCTACAGTGCACACTTTACAGCCATACTTTACAGAATACTTTTCTCCAAGCTTCTTCATATCCCATCATCCCATTCTCCTGGTAGCCCCGGCTGCTTCAGAGACTCCTTCCCTTTCTTCTTGTTTCGTCATCAAGTCTTCAGAAGTCTCGACCAATACAAGGTCTTTCTTCGCGACTTCCCCCGTCCCAGAGCTCGCATAACATTTCGTTTTTGAGGTAAGCCTTCTACTGCTTGGCACCTCGCTCACTCCTTCTGTTCTTCAACTCCCGCCAAGTGTCGAGGCCTACTTCTACCCCCTCCTCCTCTCATCCCGTCTCTCTTTTTTTCTTTCTTCTCTCTTCACAGATTCACCACAGTCATCTTCTTCTCTTTCATCCCCGATTCAATCTTTTTCCCAGTCATCCATCTTGCTTGGTAGATTGTTCTATTTTTCTTACTCTCGCTTCATCTTCCAGTCTTGGTAGCCACATTTGGCCTTGAGCCCGCTTTCTTTCGCCAGGCCTTGTTGTCTGTTCCAGAGTAAGTTGGCCACCCATTCCTTGTGTCACCAAGTCGACACTCCTTTCTTTCCCTCTCATCATCCCTATTCTCTCCTCAATCATTTCTCCATGGCAAACCCTGTCTTCCACTGAAGTTGCTTCTCGAATTTGGCCATGTCATCCTCCTTGATTCCGTGGATCGCATGGTCGATCTGCGTTGCCTGAGACTTGGGTGAGGAAAGCTGGCTAACAACGCGTTAGTTTGCTACTCGATCATTTTCAAATTCCATAATTGTCCGAATCAATTTGTTGCTATTCAGGTATGTTTGCATCCGCCTTCTCTCTACTACATCACTTTCAGCCACTGCTGTTTCATATGCTCTCCTTGTATTCACGGGTCAAAGGCTAACAAATGGTGCAGCTTCAGTCCTTATTATTCTCACGTAACATCCTGACTCGTCATGGATCCCAATACTTCAGCCTTCCACGCCCAGGCGAACGCCGCGGCCCGCCAAAACAACGCCGCTCATGCTGCCCCTGGGGGAGTTAATGGAGCAGATGCCAATTCTATGATGAGCCACTTTGCTGGCCTCTCTCTTCATGGCATGAACATGCCCCAGCCCGGTCCTATTGCTGTCGGACCAACCCCTTGGATTGGGGCCCCCTCTGGGTTTGTTGGAATGCCTCAAGCCATGTATGACCACTTTGCCATGGGCCATGCCCAGATGAGCGAAGTTCCCTATGCTGGTCAGATCCCAGCTCATGGTTCTGGTGGACCTGTTTATGGACTCCACGTCCCACTTAACACTTCCATGATGCCTTACACCCCAGGACGTCCTACCGGTCCTCAGCATCGCGCCGATCGTGGCCACTCTGATGTTCCAGGTCTTGAGAACCGTCGCGGTTCTTACTCAACCAACGAGTCTACTCCTACAACTCCATTCTGGGGTGGTGTCGCCAATCGTGAAGGTGGCGGTCCCCGTGTCGCCAGCGGTGACCGGTCTACGTACACAACTCCATCCCCTCAGCAGCTTGGAATGTCTGCTCTTCATGTTGAAACATCGAAGCCTGCTGCCGTCTCAGAGACGATCTTGGAAGAGCTTTCGAACCGCAAGCCCGCCATCCCCAAGGCGGTCCCTGCCGTTTTCACCCCTCCTGGGCAGATGAAGAGCCTCGAGCAGAGTCTTGAGAACCGTATTCCTGGCAACCGCAATGTTTACATTCGCGGTCTTCATCCCACCACAGATGACGAACTGCTCTTCCTTTTTGCCGCTCGTTTCGGTGCAGTCGAGACTTCCAAGGCTATCATCGATACAGGAACTGGTGCTTGCAAGGGGTAAGAGAACATTTTTCCTTGATTCTAGATTCATCTTTGACTTTGAACACTTTGACTCACAATTTTTCCTCCCCTTTTCTCCATTTAGCTTCGGATTTGCCAAGTTTGTCGATGCCCAGAGCTCCGAAATGTGCATCCGAGGATTTCATCGCCTTGGCTATGAAGTCGGCTTCGCTCGTGTGAGCCATGAACCCCCCATCCTCACTGCCCGATGTGACTCGTCTGACCCCCATCAGGAATCCTTCAACTCCCGGCTCAAGGCCCAGGGAGATGATGGTTCCACCAACTTGTACATTTCCAATCTGCCCAAGACCCTGACCGAAACGGTGTGTAAAAGAACAGTTTCCACGTCCCATCTGGGATCTCAATTGCTAACCATGGTGAAGGAGCTTGGAACTATCTTCATGGGCTACAACATTCTCTCTAGCAAGATTCTTCGTGACAGCATGGGCAACAGTCGCGGCGTCGGGTTTGCTCGGTATGTATAATTGTTGGGTGCCCATGTTACTGATTGTCTATTAACATCTTCAAGATTTGAGGGCCGTACTGTTTGCGATGACATCATCCGCCAGTTCAATGGACTTAGCATCGGAAACGAGGGCATGTTGATGAACATTCGTTACGCCGATACTCCTGCTCAGAAAGAGCTCAAGCGTGTGACTGCCGAGCGCCGCCAGTTCCGCACCAACGAGTATAACATTGGCGCCTATGGTACTCCCCTTGTTGGTATGGGCCCAAACATGCTCAACACCCAGGCCCAGTGGCGACACAGGGGTGCTCGTCCCTCTGGAAGGTAACTTTCCCCTGCTCAAACGTTGAAGATGGAATTCTCAATATCTCTAACCACATTGTAGTGAGGGATCATCTAGCGCTCGAGCTGGTGGCCATAGTGCTGCTGGACATAGGGGATCTCAGCGTGGTGACTCCCAGTACGCGCTGCGACCTCGATCTGTCTGGCTTCGTTGATTTCTAATCGCTCATGTGTAGGGCGGCCACAAGCGATACAACGGATTCCGCAGTCTCTTCTCCGAATTCTTCCGAGTGTGACGAGGGCGTGACTATTCATGCGGATCCAGCTGTCGAGGCCGTTGACACTTTGAGCGGTGTTTCTTCTCCATCTGCATACCAGGAGGCGAAGAAGAAGGAAATCGTCAACAAGGAGGTTATCAAGAATGAAGTCTGAGAAAAGATGTTGGTGAGCCCTCTGGTCTCCTGGAGGCGTAATTTCTGTCTTTTCTACGTCAATGTCTTGATAGACTGTCCCCATTGCCTATGTTTTTTGGAGTTGATTTCATCAAGTTTTGATAGTATTATGCGATCGAAGAACATCTTATGATCTCTGAGATAGCTGATACACTTTGGTGGAATCGCGAACCGCGTCAACATCTCTCTTTTTTGTACCTTAGTTTCGAGACAATTGCACTATAGCAAGTAAGCAAAAAAAATGTGGCGGCAAGGTAATATACACAGATGTTGCGCAAAACTCGGACCTGGATCCGCTTCACTGCTTTTCGTCGTGTTTGTTTTCGCAGATGGAGATTTGAGCTGGTGGTTTGGGTATCATGTTTCATTTAATCGACTCAACTACCACTAAATTGTCATTTTCGACATGCCCACTTCTGCGGATTGCTGCCCTTGTTGCTCAGGTTGAACTTCATTTTCGGTTGATTTGGAAGCCAACTCGGCATCCAAGTCATCAACCTCATTTGCCACTCCAATGATTATCTCGCCGCCATTGTCTGATGGGTCTTCTTCATCATCCTCATCCTCATCACTCTCCTCTTCTTCCTCATCAGAATTGTTGCCATCTGCCTTCATCGCCTCTTTTTCTCTGATGGCAGCCTCTAAATCTTTGACCATTTTCTTGGTGAACCCAGATGCTTCCACTGTAGCATCTAATCTCGTCAGGCCAGCCTTCTTCATGGCCCTCTTTGCATCTTTGAAGAAGGGCCCAGGTTCAGTGCTGGTGAAGTGGAATCTTCTGGAGAAGAAGCGCTTGATGCATTCGACATCTCTATCAAAATACATTTCTGCGTTTTGGTGCTCCATTGATACCATCTGAGGGAAATCGATGATAACTGGCTCGAGGGTTAATGTTTCCTCGCCACTTTCAGTGGTCATCTTGATCTCCTTGATGAGAATGTTGAATTCATTGAAATCGCCATGAATCAGGCCATGTTTGGCGAGCCGGAGAATTAAAGATATCAGCTCGCCGTAAAGTTTTGCTGGGTCCGGGACAGCGGATATTTGCCGTAGAGGAAATGCATCAATGAGAGCCATGAGAATGGTATGTCTGGACTGCGCGATGGGTTCGGGCACTGGAAAACCTTCTGCTAAAAGAGCCTTCATGAAGGCAAACTCCTTCATGGCTGCAAGTCGGGACAAGTACATCCACGAGCCGGAGGCTCTATTTTTGAGGTAATCTCGATTCGACTTGACTGTACGGAAGGATATTCTCCCTAGGCGATGGATTTTGAGAACTTTCTGGGTGCCTTGGTTATCGGCGACGATCATGATGTCGCTTTCTTTCCCAACGCCGATCCTGGTACCAACGCTGTAGATATCTTTTCGAGCAGAGTGGGTGTGCAACGCCAGGTAATCAAGCCCACCGTACGTCAGTCTGTAGCCATCGTACTTGGCCTCCTTGACCCTGGCGATCAACCCGACCTTTGCCAGAGCGGATATGCTTTTATGTACACCGCTAGCACCGCCCTTTAGGCGGGCAATCTTCTCGATTAATGGCGTGGGAACAAGTTCATGATTTTTGCTTCCCATTTCCACCTATACGTGACATTAGTCGGGGCTATACACTTGGGCTTCACTTGAGCAGGGGAATCAAACGCACAGCTGTGAGCACGCGCCAGTCTTCAGACGCCAGATAGCGCATGGCCCGCGTGTCCAACTTCATGGTGAAATTTAAGGGTAATTTCCCTGGCTTTTCCTTTCTAAATTTGAAGATTGTATCTTGGAAATCGTGCAAAGAGGACCCTTGTTCCTTGGCTGGAAAAATGTTGGAGGGGTTGTGTATGTCCCTTGATGATAACTTTCTTATCGGCTTATCGATAGGCGATTATGATGTGCATAAGGTCTTGTGAAGGAGGGATGTTAGTTCACGTGACCGCGAAGGCTAGCTGACCCAGTTTAACAGGCGCCAGTGCCTCACGTAACCCAAGCTGTAGCAGCTTGGATCGGTAGGCTCTATCAGCTTCCATCATCAACAACACCGGCACTCCCTTCTGACATATTCTACACCCACATCTTAGCAATAATCCGAACAGAGATCAACCCCCACCCCCTGGAGGTCTCTGATTTATTCATATCGTGGAAGATTGGAGGTAGCGAAGCTCGTTACGACTTCGACGACAACATGGCTCAGGACAGCGACGTTCCCACGTCCGCGGCCAAGGGAAAGGGCAAGGCTGAGGAGACGCCCAAAGATGAGAAGCCGGTTCTCAATGGAAAGAAAGAGGAAGGCGAGAAGAAGGACTGTGGGTGATATTGACACTCTTCATCTCTCGCTCGGTAGCTAACATATTCATAGCCACTGAGGAGGAGCTCTCCGAGGAGGACCAACAACTCAAGAATGACCTGGACATGCTGGTGGAACGCTTGACCGTGAGAAGCTTCACTCGTCTCTTTCAAAGGATTGCCTTGTGCTAATGGACATCAGGAATCAAATTCGTCGCTTTATAAGCCGTCTTTAGAAGCTATGAAGACCTCGATTAAGACTTCTACGTCATCGATGACCGCCGTCCCCAAGCCCCTCAAGTTCCTGCGGCCACACTACGAGACCCTGACGAAGTTATACGATACATGGCCTGAGGGCCAAGACAAGACCTCACTCGCAGATGTGCTTTCCGTGATCGGTATGACGTTTTCGGATGAGGATAGACAGGACACCTTGAAGTACAGACTTCTTGCTCCATCATCTGATATCAGCTCTTGGGGTCACGAATATGTCAGGCACCTTGCTCTTGAGATCGGGGAGGTGTATGGCAAGAGAATCGTCGCAGATCAGCCAACGAAAGACCTGGTCGAACTCGCACAAATCTTGGTACCGCTTTTCATCAAAACCAACGCCGAGGCAGACGCTGTGGACCTCATGAGCGAGCTGGAGATCATCGAGGAGATCCCCAAGTTGGTGGATGAGAACACATATGCCCGTGTATGTCTCTACATGGTCAGCATGGTCAATCTCCTCACCTATCCAGATAACGAAACATTCCTTCGCACCGCCCACACTATCTACCTAGAGCACAAGCAGTACACTCAAGCTATGGTTCTGGCGATTCGACTGCACGATACAGATTTGATCCAGGCTGACTATGCTTTGGTGGAGGATCCTGCCCTGAAGAAACAGCTGGGATTCTTGATCGGCCGCCAAAAGATCGCTATCATTGAGATCGAGGCCAATTCAGAGGATGAGCAAGAGGAAGTCGAATGCCTGTCGAATATGCGCCTGTCAGAGCACTTCAAGTCCCTTGGAAAGGAGCTGAACATCTTAGATCCTAAATCTACGGAAGACATCTACAAGAGCCATTTGGAGAGCAGCCGCGTCTCTGGTATGACAAATCTAGACTCAGCCCGCCACAATCTCGCTGCTGCGTTTGTCAACGCATTTGTCAACGCAGGTTACGGCAATGACAAGATGATGTTAGTTGACGGTGACAAGGAAACCTGGGTTTGGAAGACGAAAGCGGATGGCATGATGTCTACAGTTGCGTCAATGGGCACGCTGCTGTTATGGGACATTGAAAATGGGCTTGACAAGATCGACAAGTACACTTATGCGACTGAACCTGAGATTGCAGCAGGCGCCATGTTGGCCATCGGTATAATGAACTCGGGTGTGAGGATAGATTCTGAGCCCGCTCTTGCATTATTGGGCGATGTGAACAAGCTTCACCACGCAAACCCACTCATGCGCACTGCCTCCATTCTGGGTCTCGGTCTTTCATACGCCGGTTCCGATAAGGAAGATCTGCTTGAACTGCTGGTGCCTATAATTTCGGACTCCAGCGAGTCTATGCAAATCTCGGCTATGGCTGCTCTAGCTTGCGGTCTGATCTTTGTTGGTTCTTCAAATGCCGAAGTCAGCGAGGCCATTGTGACTACGCTCATGGACGATGAGCGCAAGAGTCAGCTCACAGACAAGTGGACAAGGTTCCTTGCTTTGGGTCTGGGTCTTCTCTTCTTCGGGCGTCAGGAAGAGGTTGATGTTATTCTGGAGACACTGAAAGCCATCGACCACCCCATGTCACAATCAACAGCAGTACTGGCTGAGATTTGTGCGTGGGCTGGCACTGGGGCAGTTCTCAAGATTCAAGAACTTCTTCACATCTGCAACGAACACAAGGAGGAGTCGGACGATAAGAAAGGCGACGAACTGCTCCAGGCGTACGCGGTCCTCGGTATTGCAGTTGTCGCCATGGGCGAAGACGTTGGGCAAGAGATGGTCTTGCGCCACTTCGGCCACCTGATGCACTACGGTGAACCCAACATCAGAAAAGCAGTCCCTCTAGCAATGGGTCTCATCAGCCCTAGCAACCCCCAGATGAAGGTTTACGACACGCTTTCGAGGTACAGTCACGACAACGACCCTGAAGTCGCCATCAACGCTATCTTTGCCATGGGCATTCTTGGTGCCGGTACCAACAATGCTCGTCTTGCCCAGCTGCTCCGACAACTGGCGAGCTACTACCACCGTGACCAGGACGCTCTCTTCATGGTCCGAATCGCACAGGGTCTGTTACACATGGGCAAGGGCACACTATCACTCAACCCCTTCCACACTGATCGCCAAGTTTTGTCCCAAGTGGCAGCTAGTGGTCTTCTAGCAACCATGGTCGCCATGATTGAGCCCAAGGAATTTGTGACATCTAACTCACACTACCTCCTCTACCTCCTCGTCACCGCCATGCACCCCAGGTTCTTAGTCACTCTTAATGAGAAGCTTGAACCTCTCAAGGTAAATGTCCGGGTTGGTCAAGCCGTAGATGTTGTTGGTCAAGCCGGCCGGCCGAAGACCATCACCGGATGGCAGACACAAAGCACACCTGTCCTCTTGGGACACGGTGAGAGGGCTGAGCTAGAAGATGAGGAGTACATTAGCCTCAACAGCACGCTTGAGGGTCTTGTGATCTTGCGAAAGGTAAGCCACTAGTTGTCCAATATCCGGCTCCTTATAAGTTATCCCTTTACATTACTAACCAGCATTTCTTTCTAGAACCCGGACTGGGAAGAGAACAAATAAACGGTCATGATTGGATGAAATTCGGACGGAGTTGATGATGCTCGGCCATGGGCAAGGCACGGGGCTAGGCATCCTCGGAACTGTATTGTAATACACGCGTCGGAAAATTGGGGATGGAACCAAAATCCAGACGGAAGGTACATGCATTGATAGACACTTGATCTCGAAAATCAATCGCAATCTTAAATGAAGAAACCAAGCAATCAGTTAAACCGGTGTAAAGATAATTACGATTGAAATGTCATTGTCTATATCATGAACTCATTACTGGTATATGCTCAAATTCTATGCCAAATATCAGGGGGTCTTCATATATGAAATCAAAGCAAGGCGAGAACCGGCAAGATGGACCAAACCCCGCATCAGATGATAAAATATTCCCATCACCAGGCGTCTGGCCCGAAACGTTCCCCTTCAGGCAAAGTCTTCCAGGGGCACGCCTGCCAGTCGCAACCTTGTTTGTAAACCTCGGTCCCCCACCAGCGAAAGTTCTGCATGAGGCCGGGGTAGATGAAGCCGAAGAAGACGACGACGATTCCAAACGCCAGGCCGGAGTCGAGGGCGGCGCTGAGGGTCATGGTGTACTTTGCCCACCAGGCGCCCGCGCGCCGCTTGATGTGGTAGTTGAAGATGTAGCAGACGACGGCCCAGACGGAGAAGTTGAGGCCCGTGGCCGGGGGGATCCAGGACATGGCGCCGAATATGACGGGCAGGTTGACCTTGCGGATGATGCTGCTCTTCTTGTGGCGGCTGTAGAGCCAGAGCGGGATGGGGAGGAGGGCGCCGAGGGGGAAGCACCACACGAGGGCGCGGTACATGGCGCCCGGCCCGAAGAACTCGTTGACGCCGACGACGCCCCAGAGGATGGAGCCGTTGAAGTGGACGCGGGCGATGGGGCAGGTGAAGCCGTTGAGGGCGTCCGGGGTGCAGAGCCCCCTGATGTTGACGAACATCCAGTTCAGGACGCCGATCTGGGTTATGGAGGAGACGAGCGTCGCGACGACCTGGACGGTGAACATGATCCGGGGAGGGATCTTCATGTAGTGGCCGAGCTTGAGGTCGGAGGCAAACTTGATGCCCTGGGCCGAGGAGATGTATCCGTACGTGACGAATACCATGTTGGCTATTGGGCGGCCTGGGAACACTGCGCCGCAAATAAGCTGGCAGATGAGGTAGATGCTGCTGTGTTGGTTCGTCACAGCCATTATAATGCCGTTTGGTATAAAGAAGATGGCGCCTATTCCAAGAGACAGTAGGAGGCCGTACCAGGGCAGGTGGATGGGGTAGCTGTAGAGATTGGTCAGCTTCTTAGAATCGATGGGATTAGCTAGAGGGCCGCAAACGTACTATTCCACGACGAAGATGCCAATGGCCGTCATAGACACAAATGTAATCAAGTACCAAGACATAGGCACATCTTTATATCGTTTCATCAAGCGACTGTGAACATCCTCGTGGCTTATTAGGCCATCCACGTTGGATGTCGATCTGGACAGGCGAGCATAGTCTTCATTTGCGAAGAGGCCGTTATCTTGAGGGGTATTGGGCACTCGCTGGTAAGCCGGCTTCCCGTCCTCGCGAGCTTCCTCTAATGCCTTTTTCCAAGTTGTCCAGATATCATGGCCATGCCAGCAGGCCGTGTGCGTCAGCAGAGC